TGTCTGTTTCAGTTCTAGGGGACCAAACACCAATGCACATAAAATAAAAATAAATTTATTTTTAAAATTAAATAAATAAAAAAAAAACACTTCCTTTATTATTTTCTTATTGAGACAGTTTTCTGTGTATCCTTGGCCGTCCTGGAACTAGCTCTGTAGAGCATGCTGCTCTATAGGGGCAGGCGTTTTAGTTTCCACTCAGCAAGACTTTCTGTTTGTTTTCTGAGACAAGGTTTCTCTATATAACAGTACTGGCTGACCTGGAACTCACTCTGTAGACCAGGGTGGCCTCAAACTCCCTGAGATCTGCCTGCCTCTGCCTCCCTAGTGCTGGTCTACAGAGCTAATTCTAGGACAGCCAAAGCCACACAAATAAACACTGTCTCAAAAAACCCAAGAAAGAGAGAGGAGAGAGGAGAGAGAGAGAGAGAACGAGGAAGACAGGCCTCTAAAATGTTATCTGTGCGTATCTGAGTGTGTGTGTTGATGTAAATGTGTGTGAGGGCAGAGCTTATGGAAGTCAGAGGTGGTGTGGGCGGTCCTTCTGTCTATGTGTTGTTTTTATTGGTTAATGAATAAAGAGCTGCTTTGAGCCTATGACAAGGGCAGAACAGAACTAGGTGGGGGAAAGCTAGGCTGTATGCTGGGAGAAAGAGAGTGGAGTTAGAGAGAAGCCATGGATCCACCATCTGAGGCAGACGCTGGGAACTTTAGCTGGTAAGCCATAGCCATGTGGCGATATACAGATTAATAGAAATGGATTAAATTAATATAAGAGTTAGCCAATAAGAAGCTAAAACTAATGGGCCAAACAGTGATTTAATTAATACAGTTTCTGTGTGATTATTTTGGGTCTAAGCTAGCCAGGTGGCCAGGAACCAACAAGTGGTCCTCTTCCAGCAAAGGGGCATGCCAACGTGGTGGACTAAATCCATGTAAAACATGAGAGGGCTTGGAAAGAAACTCGAGACACAAAAAAACAGTTAGCTGCATTTCATTTTCAGCTGGTGGCTTGCTGCAGCTCCTTTAAGAGAGGTTTTCCTGATTCAGTGGTAGCAGGAAAAGTATCGTGCTGTTGTGAATGCCAGCTTTCTGGGTTGTGCTACCAGCGTGAAGTCTGACTCTTTCAGGCAGGAGGTTCAGCTACAAAGCATTTGAATGGGGTTTGTGAGGAGACTGCTGCAGCATGCTTAATGGCAACATGGACTTGCTGTGTGCTTGAGAATGGGGCTGTGTGCATGGCTCTCAGAGGCACCAGAGGCTCCACCATGCTGGACTGGGTGGGCAAGCAGGAAGTACCATATATACCATAGTAGTGGCGCAGCTTAAGTTTCAGACTGGGCAGGCAAGCAGTGAGTTCCATACATGCCATAGTAATGATGCAGTTTAAGTTTTAAGATGCGCTTAGCATTTTAAAAAGTGCTCCTGGACAGTAAAGAATTATAGATATGCAATAAAGACAAATCCAGATGAGTCACAGTGTTAGATAAATGTATGTGGGCTTGGGAGAGAACAAAAAGAGTACAGAGAGCTATAAAAAGGAGTAAATGGCTTTTTAAAAAATAAAACAAAGTCTTTAAAGAGACAGAGTACAGATAGTCATATATTAAAAAGGAGTAAAGAAAAATAAGCCATGTAAAAATGGAAAATTCACAGAGAGTCTGGATTATGTATATTATTGTGTTTTCTTTGAATTTTTTGACTGTGAATGAGCTAAGTATAGAGAGAAATTTCATTGTATGGGATGCTAAGCTAAACCAGCATGTATATTATAAAGGTATCATAACTTCCAAATTTGGGTCTAAGGATGTGTTGCTTTGGAAAAGAGGTTTTTCTCTTGTTCCCACAGAGGATGAGAATCTGTGGATTGCTTCCAGACTGGTGTGGTTTGATGTAACAAGACCCCCCTGAAGGTTGCCATGAACACCCCCAAAAATTACTATGCCCAACAACCAGCAGGAAGCAGTATGGAGAAAACTACGCCCATATTCCCAAACATTGTCTATAAACGTTTGTTTACATTTAAAGGGGGATATGATATAGATATGAATAATTTGCATTGGTATGGATCCTGCTTATTGATACAAATTTACGCAAGTCAAATTTGTTATATGTACATGTATTTCTGGATCTTGATAAGGTATTGTGTTTGTGTAACTCATTTTAAAAATGTAATGTATAATTAAGAAATATAAGTTAATAGATACTCATCTATGTTAGTCAAGTTTGTAGTCTTGTTAGATTTTTCAAGATGTATAGAGATATATTTCAGTTAGATAGGTATTCTTCAACTCTTTCAGAGACCTTCTGAATATGGCATTTAAAATGTTCAAGAACTTAAGACTTTTCATGACAGTGAGACACATCTGCTCCTGGAAGATACTTCAAGATACTTCAAGAGGATGATGGGCATTGAAGAGGCTCCTTATAGAGTTGGTTAGCCATTTTGGCTCTTACCTGGACTGCTTGACTGGACATGCAGGACCCACAGAGAAATGACAGCTGAACTTGCCTAAAGGTGAGATGATCCTTCAGGGTTCCTGCTTCATAAAAGACTCTACTAGACATTCTACAGGATACAACAGAAAGTGACTGGCAAACTGTCAATATAGGTGAAACTGTCTTTGAAATTTCCTGCTTCATGGAAAAGTCTGCTGGATACTATGGGCCTGTAGGCTGAAGATGGATGCCCCAATGATATAGAACTTTGGGTTATTGTCCGGGCAGTGAGATGTCTCTGTCAATTCTAGGGTTTTGGAAGTTGCTTACAATGCACTTCCTGTTTACTTAGGTAATATTATATCCTTCTGGAGTCTTTGATAGAGTTGAAGAATTTATAGTTATAGCTTTCCTTAGTTATGATAAAAGATAAAGTAGATATAAATATTGTAACTGTAATTCTTGCTTCATATCTGTTTTGTTATATATAATTTTACTATGTTAAATTTAAAGTCTTCCTTTTTGTTTAAACAGAAAAGGGTAAATTGTGTGGGAGGTCCTTCTGTCTGTGTGTTGCTTTTATTGGTTACTGAATAAAGAACTGCTTTGAGCCTATGGCAGGGAAGAACAGAACTAGTTGGGGAAAGCTAGGCTGTATGCTGGGAGAAAGAGGGGCAGAGTCAGAGAGATGCCATGGATCCACCACCTGAGACAGACGCTGGGAACTTTAGCTGATAAGCCACTGCCATGTGGCAATATATAGATTGATAGAAAACAAATAAACAGCCCTCCTCCAACATCAGAGGACAAATCTGGGGAGTCAGTTCTCTCCTCTGATCATGGGGGTTCCAGGGATTGATCTCAAATCATCATGTCTGGCAGTAGGCACCTTTATCCACTGAGCTGTCTTTGCAACCCCAGGACAGGACTCTTGAACAAGAACATCAAATTGAGTTGATGAGTTGGAGAAGCAAGCCATGTCTAGCAGTTACAAAAACTCAAAGGCCCAGACTTTGTGATAATTGGGATAAAATGCACATCTTGGTTTTGTGGTGTTGGGGATTGAACATCAGGGACTAAGCACATATTAAATAGCACTTGTGTTGAGTTATAACCTCAGGTTCTGTGATGGTTTTTGTTTGTTTGGGGTTTAGGGTTTTTGGTTTGGTTTGGTTTGGTTTTGGTTTTTTGAAACAGAGTTTCTCTGTGTAACAGCCCTGACTGTCCCAGAACTCACTTTGTAGACCAGGCTGACCTCAAACTCACAGAGATCTGACTGCCTCTCCTCCTAAGTACTGGGAGTGTACACCACCACTGTCCGGCTCGATGTATGGAATGTTCCAAACTATTGTATGGAACTGTGGGAGAAATAAACTCTCTCTTTCTCAGGTTGCTTTGGTCCTGGTGTCTCATCACAGCAATAGTAACCCTAACTAAGACAACCATCCTCCATTATTCCCACTTCACAAATGAGAAAAGCAGCCTGGAGGAAGCTGAAAGCAGCTGTGAGATGCTGCAGCAAGAAAGCCCCAAAGCCTCTGCTCTAAGTTAGGTTGTTCCTCTCAGTAAAGCCTCTCTCGCCTAGCCAAGGCATCACTGCAAGGCACAGAGGGACTGCCTGAAGGCAGAAGAGAAATAGAAACTACCATCAGCTTTGGCTGACCTGTCTAACTCCACTCTGGTCTGAAAAAGAGTTTGTGTGTGAAGTATACATTGTCTCCAGGCTGAGGAAAAGAAGCTAAAAAGAGGGAATGTTTTTGACTCCCTGCTGGTGTGGAGTACCTAGAATGCTTCTTTAAAATTTTGGAGACATTTAAGACATACATTTGAGGCATGGCAGTAGTGGCACACACCTTTAATCCCAGGCAGAGGTAGGCAGATCTCTGAGTTCAAGGCCAGCCTGGTCTACAGAGTGAGTTCCAGGACAGCCAGTTTGAGAAACTGTCCCAAAAAACCAGAGAGAGAGAGAGAGAGAGAGAAAGACAGAGAGAGAGAGGAGACGAGACACATCATTCATCAGTTAGCATGAAAAAAATGAGCCTCTGGTTTAAAAAAAAAACTATTTTCAAATATATTAAGGGGGCTGGAGAGATGGCTCAGAGGTTAAGAGCATTACCTGCTCTTCCAAAGATCCTGAGTTCAATTCCCAGCAACCACATGAGGGCTCACAACCATCTGTAATGAGGTCTAGTGCCCTCTTCTGGCCTGCAGGTATACATGCAGAAAGAATATTGTATACATAATAAATATATAAATTTAAAAAAATATTGTTAAGCTCAGCCTGGCGGTGCATGCTTTAATTTCAATATTCAGTAGAGACAGGGGGATTTCTGTGAGTATGAAGCCATTTTGGTCTATGTGCCAATTTCGAAGGCAGCCAGAGCTACATAGTAAGGCCTTGCCTTAAGAGAGACAGAGAGAAGGAAGATAGCAAAAAAGAACCACCCAACCCCGAAAAACAAACAAACAAACAAACAAACAGAAAAGGTTATTAAAATATGACTGACTTAAGCATAATTTTTATCAGACCCCAAAGCTAAACCCTCATGTGCACTACACACCAGGAGCACAGTTACCAGGACCAGGTCACTGCTTTACTTCTGCATGATCTCTGCATGTTACTTGCCAGCATTTGCTCTGGTTTCCTTTCTGTTGTGAAAATAATCAGACGAAAAGCAAGTTAGGGGAGGAAAGGGTTTATTTGGCTTCCACTTCCAGGGCACCGCCCATCACTGAGGGAAGTCAGGGCAAGCACTCAAGCGGGAGTGTGAAGCAGAAGCCACAGCGGAATGCTGCTTGCTGCCTCACTGTCTCGCGTCAGCTACCTTTCTGTTATGTTTGAGACAGGCTTTAACTATGTAGCCTTGGCTGGCCTGGAACTCACTGGAACCAGGCTGGCCTCAAATCCAGAGAAATCTGCCTGCCTCTACCTCCGAAGTGCTGAGATTAAAAACATTCAAGACACCAAACAGGTTTCCCCAGTTATACAGTCCAAGGCCACCTTCCAAGGGAATGGTACCGCCCATAGTGGGCTGGGTTCTTCCTACTCAGTTATCAAGAAGACCACCCACTGCCTTGTTGGCAGGACAGTTTTATCTAGGGCATTGCTCAGTAGAGGCTCTCCTCCTCAGATGACTATAGGCTGTGTCAAATTTAACTAGGGGACTGGAGAGGCAGCACAGTGGTTACTATTGTTTACTGAGCTTCCAGGTGACCTGCCTTTGGTTTCTAGCACCCACAGCGGATGACTTACAACTGCCTATATTCATTGCAGCTTCCAGGGGACTCGACACTCTCTTCTGGCCTCTGGGATTACCAGAATACACATGACATATACACAAACAGACACATAAATTGTTTTAAAAAGATGTATTTATTTATTATGTATACAGTGTTCTGTCTGCAAGATTGTGGGCACACCAGAAGGCACCAGATCTCATTACAGATGGTTGTGAGCCACCATGTGATTGCTGGGAATTGAACTCAGGACCTCTCAAAGAGCAGTCAATGCTCTTAACCTCTGAGCATCTCTCCAGTCCCTACACAAAATTTTTTAAAAAGCTAACTAGGGCATTATTAGAATCTCTTTCTTAAAATGGGGACTGCAGCAGCCATGCCAAAGAGCTCTTGTGAAACAAACGAGACCTCAGCAACTGTTGAATATGGCCTACTGTTAGGGTCTCTCAAAGCCCAGGCCGGCCCTGACCTCAAACTTCTGATCTTTAGACCTGTAACTCCCAGTGCTCAGATTACAGGCATATTCTACCTGCCACACACCCAATTAATGTAGGCTCTATGGCTGAAATCCGTAGCTTCAAGTACACTAGGCAAACACTATACCACAATATCTTACTGTAATACATATTAAAACCTTCAGCCTGATGCCTGGTGGTGGTGGTGGGTGGTGGCGCATGCCTTTAATGCCAGCACTCCAGAGACAGAAGCAGGCAGATCTTTGAGTTCAAATCCAGCTTGGTCTTCAGGGCGGGTTCCAGGACAGTCAGGACTACACAGAGAAACCCTGTCTTGAAAACGAACAAACAAAACCTTCAGCCTGAAGTGGTAGTGCATATATTTAATTTCAACACTCAGGAGGCAGAGGTAGGCGGAACTTATGAGCTCCTGGCCAGCCTGGTTTCCACAGCAAGTTTCAGGACAGCCAAGGCTATGTAGAGAGACCCAATCTCAATCAATCCCCAAAATACCTACCCCCATAACCAAAGCCAAACTTTCAGAGATGGCATATGGGTAGAATTCTTTCTTGCAAAACATCCTATCTTGGGTCTCCCCGGTTCACTGCTTGCAGTGGGTGTGGGTGTGCACTCATGTGCATGTGTGCACACACTCACAAACTTGAGCGTGAGTATGTGCATGTAAAGGCAATTACCCAAGATCGGATATGGATCTTTAGGACACATCCATTTTTTTTTTTTTAAGGCAGTGTTGTTCACTGGCCTGGACGCATTAGGCAGATTATACTAGTTGGCCGGTGAGCCCCAGGGATTTGTCTCTACCTTCAAAACACATGTGGGCCACTGCACCGGCTTTTTAAAAACATGGCTTTTCAAGATCAAACTCAGGCTTTGGTTGCAATCACTTTAGCAAACGAGTTGTCTCCCTAGCCTTGTGATCTCTTCTTCACACTTTAGAGTCCAAGCACTTACTAACTGCCAACCAGTTACCACCTCGGTGGCAGGGACGACCTGGGGACTGGCATAGGATGGACCGAAGTTGGGGGAGGGAGAGGGGAAGAGGCAGGGAGGAAACCCAGAAGAGTTAAAATGCATTCTTGTTCTCTTTTAATTGAAAACCCTAAAGAGGCACACCCACTTGGAAACTACTTACTTAGTAATTAATTAATGAGGAAGGAAAGATTGAAGCAGTAAGCTTAAAAACTGCCAAAAAGGCCTGCTGACCAACATGGAGGAACTCGGGGGCGGTCGAAAATACTTTAAAGAGGTCTTTCGGGTTTCCTGTAGAAAATAAGAAAGAAAGAAACATCAGTTATCCCCCCAGGTCTTATGGAGAGCACTAGAAGTTCTTAGTTCTCTCGCCTGTGAGACCAGGTGTCACTGTAGACCATGGGGATCTGAAACTCACAACAAAGCCCAGGCTGGATGCCAGCTCAGGATCCTCCTGCCTCTGCTTCCTGAGGGCAAGGAGAACAGATCAGAGCCACTAGTTGGTTGTTTTTGGTTTTGTTTTTTTTTGTTGTTTTGGTTTTTTTAGACAGGGTCTCAAGTAGCCCAGGCTGACCTCAGACTGTGTAACCAAGGACAACCATAAACTTTTGATCCTCCTTCCTCCACCACCCCCATGCTAAGATTACTGGTATGTAGTCAGTGCTGGTGACTGATCCTGAAGAGTTATGCACACTAGGAGAACACTGTCAGGTGAGTCGCTTCTCAGCTGCTTTTTTGTCTTATGTAGCCCAGGCTAGCCTCAAACTGACTATGTAGCCAATAATCTTGAACTTTTTAAAAATCATTTTTATTTAAAAAAAATTATGAGCCAAGCGGCAGTGGTGCACGCCTTTAATCCCAGCACTTGGGAGACAAAGGCAGGCAAATCTCTCTCTGTAAATTCAAGGCCAACCTGGTCTACACAGTGAGTGAAAGAACAGGCTCTAAAGCTAAAGGGAAACCCTGTCTCAAAAAAAAAACCCAAATAATAAAATAATAATAATGATAAATTAAATAAAAATATTTGTGTTTGCCCAAATATATATCTGTGTATGAAGGGCATGCAGTCTCCTCAGAGGCCAGAGAGGGTATTAGATCCTCTCAAACTGGAGCTACAGGATATGAGGTACCTGGTGTAGGTCCTCTGAAAGAGCAGTAAGTGCTTTTAACTGCTGAGCCACCTCTAGTCTCTGACCTTGAACTTCTGACCCCCTCACCACTTTCCTAGAGCTGAGAGGCGTACAGGTGTGCACCATTATACCTAGTTTTTGTCTCCTGTTTTGTTTTGCTTTTTTTAAGATTTATTTATTTAGTATATGTATGTTTGCAGGCCAGAAGAGGGCACCAGATCTCATTGCAGGTGGTTGTGAGCCACCATGTGGTTGCTGGGAATTGAACTCAGGACCTCTGGAAGAGCAGTCAGTGTTCTTAACCTCTGAGGCATCTCTCCAGCCCTTGTCTCCTGTTTTGTTGGTTCTTTTTTTGTTGTTTTTGTTTTTGTCAATTTGACACATACTAGGGTCATCTGGGAAGACAGAGGTAACAGACTGGACAGTAGACAGATCTGTGGGGGCATTTTCTCAATTAATGATTGATGTGGGAGAGGCCAGGCCACTGTAGGCAGAATCACTGGGGCAAGGGTACTGGGAGATACAAGAAAGGTAAGAGAACATGAATCTCTAAGGACTGTGCTTCAGTTCCTGCCTTTGGGTCCCTGCCCTGACTTCCCCTTTAAACTGAAAGAAACCCTTTCCTGCCCATGGTGCTTTGGTCGCGCTGTTGTCCCTGCGTGGTTGGCCTCCAACTCCAGCAGTCGTCTCTGGAGCACTGAGACTACTGAGATGACTTACAGGTGTAAGCTGTCCTGCCTGCCGGGATAGATTTGAGACGTATTGTGGCATTTCGCGAGGCCTTTCTCATCGAACTGCAAACTGCCAAAGCATAGACTTTCACTAGCAGCCGGGAGAAACCTGGGATGATCGAGTACAGTTCCAACTAACACGGGAAGTCTTAGTAGGGTGTGAGAGATGAACAAACTTGGTGGCACCGACCCGTAATCTCAAGGCTGCAGAGGTTGAGGACTGTCACAAATACCATGCCACCCTGGGCTACACTGGGCTGCATCAATAAAACAACACAGCATGTGACCATGGCCCATGGTTGAAATTTCGGCATTTGGAGGGGAATGGTGGAGGCTGAGGAGTTTCAGGCCAGTTTAGGAGACCACTGTGTCAGAAAATAAAAAATAAAGGCCAGGCAGTGGAGGCGCACGCCTTTAATCCCAGCACTCGGGAGGCCGAGGCAGGTGGATCTCTGTGAGTTCGAGGTCAGCCTGGGCTATAGAGTGAGTTCCTGGACAGCCAAGTATACACAGAGAAACCCTGTCTCGAAAAAAACAAAATAAAAATAAAACTATTAAAAAGAAAGAAAAAGAGCTAGGCATTGTTGCACATGTCTTATCATCCTAGCTCTTAGTAGCTGGCGATAGGACGATCTGAAGTTTAAGGTAATCCTCCACTACACAGTGAGTTCGAGACCAGCCTGAGGTAATAGGCGATTCTACTTCCGACCCCCCACCAACGGGCTCTGCCTGCCCATACCCTCTCAGGGCAGGCGCGTGCGCGGCCGCGGCTGCAGTTGACGTTGGCGCCGCTTGCGCTGCGCGTTGATCAGGATCTGTGCCACCTTGCGCTCGTGGCCGCCGGGCACCGGGTGGTGGGTGCGCAGTTGCTGCTCGCGCCGCGTCCGGCCTTTGCTGCGGCCAGCTCCGGAGGCCGGGAAGTCACGCAGGTAGTAGTAGTCCAGGCTGTCGTACAGCTCGTCGTCGAAGCCCGCAGTGGGAAGCGCCTCCGGCGGCGGCGGGCGCGCTCGAGCCCGTGGGCGGGACACGGAAGGACGAGCTGGCGGGTCCATCACGCCGCTGCGCTCCGCCCGCCGCCGCCGCTGGCTACTCCGGCCGCAAGGCCCCGCCCAGTGCTCCTATTGGCTCCGCTCTAGGGGCGACCCTGTGACCTCACAGAGGGGCGTGGCTTCCGGCGACGCTTCTTTGTTCCCTAGTGGAAATCCTAAGTGTTTCTGCGGGACAGTATTGTTAACTATTATAAAACTTCTGGTGCCGTTGGTCAAAAACCCGAAGGGACGGAACAAGGCAATGTGGCTCCGTGGGTAGAGCGCTTACCTAGCATGCACGAAGCACTGAGTTCCACCCCCAGCACTGTATAAATCTAGTGTGGTTGTGTACACCTGTAATTCCAGCACCGGTATAAAAGATGGGAGCCCTTCCGGCCGAATGTATTACCTAGCCCAGTTTGGGTTTATTTTTGCAAAAGGAAATAGGCTTGCGGAACTACTTTCGCTTGGTTCGTGCGTTTCTTTGTGTGACATGATTATTGTCTTCAACATTACTTTTTCATTGCTATAACCAAATACTTGGCAAGAATCCGTTTAGAAGAGGGTGTGTTTTGGCTCACAGTTTGAGAATACATACAATCAGAAGGGGAGGCATAGTGGGCAGGATCATGAGGCTACTTGCTCATACCTGCATTGGTCATTGGGAGGTAAAGGGGAATTCTAGCACCTTGTTTGCTTTCTTCCCCCGTCCATTTTTATTGGAGTCCCCAGCCCACTGGATGATGTAATCTACATTCAGGGTGGGTTGCCTCTTCTCAGTCTATAGTCTCTAGAAACTTCAACGGATACACCCAAAAGCATGCCTCATAAATTGAGAAGACAGACCGACTGACAATCCCAAGCTGGAACAGAGGGACTGGATAGAGTTTGGTTTTGGTTTGTTTGTTTTTGGCTTTTCAAGACAGGGTTCCTTTGTTGTAGCTTTGGAGCCTGTCCTGGAACTAACTCTGTAGACCAGGCTGGCCTCGAACTCAGAAATTCACCTGGGTGCTGGGATTAAAGGCATGCGCCACCATGGCCAGCTAAGAGCATTTATTATTCAAGCACGGGGACTTGAGTTTGGGTTCCCAGCATGCATATAAAAAGCCAGGTGTGGCTGCATAGGCCTTTCCCCTCATCCCTGTAGAGGGACTACCAAGAGAGGCTTGCTGGCCAGCCAGTCTAGCCAAAGCAGGACAGATTCAGTGAGAGACCCTATCTCCAAGCAGGAAAACACTCAATCTCCTCCATCACTCTGTGTGATGAATGAATGGAATATAAGAGCATGTGTGCATGTATGTGTGTGCTTCCACACACACATACAGTACAAAGCAAGAACAAAAGTAAAAGTAGCTGTTCAAGGGCAAGCAAGATGGCTCAACAGATAGCACATCTACAGAGATCGGATGACCAGAACTCCATCCCCAGACCCACAAGGTGGCAGGATGAACAGGTGGACATGGACATTCTCTCTCTCTCTCTCTCTCTCTCTCTCTCTCTCTCTCTCTCTCACTCACTCACTCATTTATTGTGAGTGGTAGTTTGCTTTGAATAGCCTCGGCTGTCCTGGTATTCACTCTGGGACCCAGAGGCAGGGCGAGCTCTATGAGTTCAAGGCCAGCCTGGTCTCCCAAGAGCTAGTTCCAGGACAGGCTCCAAAGCGCCAGAGAAATCCTGTCTCGAAAAACAAACAATAAGAAGAAGAAGGTTTAGTTATTTCTGTGTATCAGTGTTTTGCCTGTATTTCTGTGTATCAGTGTTTTGCCTGCATGTATGTCTACCACATGCACACCTGGTGCCCGAGGGTGGTGACCAAAACACTGATACACTTAAATAAATCTTACTTTATAAGCCCTACAGACTTTCCTACAGGCAAATGGATGGAAGTATTTTCAAAGAGGATATCAGATCCCCTGAAACTGTTAATTATGGATCAAGTCTTCTCAACCCTCCTATTGCTGTGACCCTTTAACACAATTCCTCATGTTGTGATGACCCCAACCATAAAATTATTTCATTGATACTTTATAACTGTAATTTTGCTACTGTTATGACTTGTAATGTAAACATATGATATGTGGGATTTATTTTCTCTTTCTTTCTTCGGTTTTTCCAGATTGGGTTTCACTGTGTAGCCCTGGCTGTCCTGGAACTCACTTTGTGGCCAGGCTGGCCTCAATCTCACAGAGATCTACCTGCCTCTGCCTACTAAGTGCTGGGATTTAAGGCATGCACCACCACCAGGCATAGAATTTATTTTCATTGTTACAAATTGAACATCATTAAAGCATAGTGATTAATCCCCCAAAAAACAGTATGTATCTATTGTGAAATATTTATTTCCAGTTATAAATAATGAAATTTTGTCTTGAATCATGGTGTAGTACCATGAGCAAGTCTTTTTTTATTGTGTATACAGTATTCTGTCTGCATGTATGCCTGCAGGCCAGAAGACGGCACCAGATCTCATTATTGAAGGCTATAGCCACCATATGGTTGCTGGGAACTGAACTCAGGAATTTAACTCAGCCAGTGCTGTTAACCTCAGAGCCACCTCTCCTGGGTAACAGTCTTAATATAACATTAGTACTTGGGTGTCGACTTTAATTCCAGCACTTGGGAGGTAGAGATAGGAGAATCTCTATGAGTTTGAGGTCAGCATGGTATACAATGCAAGTTCCAGGACAGCCAGGCTACACAGAGAAACCCTATCTCCAAAAAAAAAAAAAAAAAACCAAAAAACAAAATACAAAACAAAGAACAAACAAAGCAAAACCCACAACAACTTGCTACATTTTGCAACAGTATCTGTAAAATGCCAACTTCAGCCAGGTAGTAATGGTGCACACCTTTAATCCCAGCACTTGGGAGGCAGAGATAGGTGGATCTCTACAAGTTCGAGGCCAGCCTGGTCTACAAAGACAGTTCCAGGACGGGCTCCAAAGCCACAGATAAAGCCTGTCTTGAAAAACAAAAACAAAAACAAAACAAGCAAACAAAAAAACCACACACACATAAAAAAAGCAAAAAGTCAACGCCAACATCAGTGTGAAGGCTGAGATTGCTTCTTTCTCACTAGATCAGAAATTCTCGGGGCAGTCTTTGCAAGAGCACAACGGAGATCATCTTCCACAGCGAGTCTACGTCTGTATTTGGACTTGATAACCAACAAGTTGGAAAACCCTCTCTCACAAAGATACGTTGTTGGGAATGGAAGGAGGAGGCGCAACACGGTCTCAGACAGAACAGGGTAGGATTGCAAACACTTGACCCAGAACTGTGTAACTGGCAAGGCAGAGAAGTCAGCTCTCGCTGCTTCACTGTTAATAAGTCCCACGAACTCCTCCTGTGCGGTCTCAGGAACATCTTCAACTCTGACTGTGAACGGGCTTCTAGCAAGGGCAAATGGGATGGAAGGCAGATTTGGAACGTACCAGGAAATTTCTTCAGCAAGCACATGCAAGTGCTCTTTCACGGAAACGATCAGTGAAGTCCTTCCGGAGGGTTTAATGTCGTGTTCCTCAAAGAAAGCAGAGAGGGTAGGCAACATGTGTGTTTTATTTTCTTCCAGCTCTTTTTGCCAGAGCTGAAGCTTCATTTGGAATGACTGGATCTTTTCAGACAAATCGAGGCATGTTGCATTTGGTCCTTGCAGTGATAAACTTAATTCACGCAAGACAGCAAAGATGTCGACCAAGTAAGCTATTTTCTGCAATTCACATTGATCACTGAAAAGTGCTACGAACTGTGGTCTTGCTTTCTGACTAAAAAATATCCTGAGTTCATCACGAAGCTCAAAAACACATTTTAAGACGGTTCCTTTGGACAACCACCTCCCTTCGGTGTGAAACAGCAGAGCTTTGTTCGGGGCGTCAAACTCATTGCACAGTTGCGAAAACAGGTGACTGTTTAACGTGCTCGCCTTGACAAGATTGACAGAACCAACGACGCTTTGCATGACTACTTTTAAGTCTTGCGGCAGTGTCTTCATTGCTAATGCATGCAGATGAATCACACAGTGAGTTCCGATGACTTCCGGTGACTCGTTCAGGACCAAACGTTGAAATCCAGACTGACATCCTAGCATAGCCGGAGCACCGTCGGTGCAAACACCACAAACCATTTCCCACGACAGCTTGTGCTCCTTCAGAAATGAACCAACTCTGTCAAATACATCATGTGCAGTGGCTGTTGTTTCAAGAGGTTTGCAAAAGAGGAATTCATCTTTAAAGTCGCCGCCATTAATGTACCTCACGTAAACCAGTAACTGGGAACAGTTTGCGACGTCTGTAGATTCATCGAGCTGGATACTAAATAACGGAAGTGGAGCAGATTTAATTTCCTGGATGACCTGGTTAAGAATATCGGCAGACATGTCATTTATTCTTCGGCGGACAGTGTCATTAGACAAGGAAACCGCGCTCAGCTGCATACCAAATTCCTTTCCGATCAGAACGCGAACGCTGTCTTTGGCTGCTGGCAACAGTAAATCCTCAGCAAAGCTGTGAGGCTTCATAGTCCTGGCGATTCTGAGTGCCACCAGATAGGAAAACTCAACGGCTATGACATTCTGTTTGGGATATTTGCTGCCAGTGTCCAGCCTGGCTTTCTTGAGCTCATCAGCTTTGCTTCTAAAATAGTTGATGTCCTTGTCGGCAAAGCTCAGGTGCTTGCTGTCAAAATGGCGTTTCAGTTTGTTTGGCTTCATAGACTCCGCTGAGAGAACATCCCCACAAATAACGCACATCGGTTTCTCAACTCCTGCTGTCATTTTTGAGGTAAAACCATATCGTAAAAATTCTTCACTGTATCTTCTGTTCTTAACCTTCTTCTCTACACGGTCCACTCTTGGGGGATGGTCCTCTAATGAAAATAATACACGACAGTAGCTTTAATAATACAGAAGATGGCCGGGCGGTGGTGGCACATGCTTTTAATCCCAGCACTCCGGAGGCAGAGGCAGTTGAATCTCTGAGTTCGAGGCCAGCCTGGTCGACAAGAGCGAGTTCCAGGACAGGCTCCAAAGCTACAGAGAAACCCTGCCTCAAAAAAAAACAAAAAGAAAACAAACAAAAAAACAACTGGCGCTAAGCAGTGGTGCCATCTTAGTTCCAGCAA